TGAGAACCTACTGTACATACAATCATGATTGTTTTAGCGGCGGCAGTTTGCGCCTGGCTCACACTTACCGCTAATATCTTAACTTTTCGCATTTGCTGATGTAATTGATGACTTTATTTCTGTTTATCGACATGAATAGGGTGCTCAAGGGCGAAAGCCTCATTCCCTTAATAAACTGACTTAAACTGACTAATGGCAATCTTGCAAACTACCGTTAGTAAGAAATGAATTTTAACTAGCAATATCCTCGTCCTTACAAAGTTGCAGCGGGGTTTCAACAGAAAAAATAAATCCCCTCCTGACCACTTCTCTGTTAATAGCTCGACGAACTTCTCCAAATCTACAAACGGCCCTGATGTTCCAATATTTATTTATACGGTTGATCTGGTCAAAATTTTTTTTTCCTTTGAACCCCGGCATGCTAAGGCGAAACCAACAAGAGGAGACTTCAACGCACCCATGGTCGATTGCACCAATTAATCAGTAAATGTTTTATGAAATTCCTTTGATTCCAGGCTCTTTAAGCTAACGGCTAATCTATGTCTGGTACAAAATATCACGTTCCCAATCAGAATCAGAGAAGAACAAAGAACGAATTGTCTGGAACTCGTTCTTACAGAAGACCCAATTAGCCCTGCGAACTTAGTTCCATAGCACCGCTGGGAAGGAGAAACCATGTCATGCTGTTTTGGGAATACCGCCTATGCAGCCAACAAATGGATACGAATCAGCCTAACTGTATTTCTGGCTAGGACATTTTGCCACCATGAGACGGGAATTATCAGTAGTGGACTAGAATGATGTTCTTATCGGATATACAGATGCTGAGTTGAACACACTCAAAGGGAATTATAACCGACGTTATTCATCGAAACTGTCCCACAACGAGAGTCCAGAATACAAGCCGTCCCGCATGGTTAACGCGCGATATAAAGAATGCAGTAAATGGGAAGAATAAATTATGGAGGTGTGTAACAAAAAACAACCATCTCATTGCAAGCAGTTTCACCGAAAGCGAAACGAGGTAAAGTCGGCTATCCGCAGGTCGCGGAAGGAGTATGAAACACGAGTTATGGAACGGGCGGTAGATAAACCAAAAGTGTTCTTCAGTTACATCAACAGCAAGTTAAAGACCACGGAGACGGTCTTAGTGTTGAAAGGAGAAAACACTGAGGCAGGCTATCTTAGTCAGTATTTCGCATCTGTTTTCATCGATGAGACGGAGTTTGACGAGGCTGGATTGCCTACAGGAACAACCGACGAAGTAATAGAAAACATCCGCTTCACGGAAAAACATATGTGGGAGGAACTTCTAGTGCTTAAGGAGGGCAAGTCTCCGGGTCCATAACAAATTCCGGTAAAAGTTCTGAAGGATTTGGCTTACGAACCCGCCAGAACGATTTTGCATATCTTCAAGTCGTCCTTTGACCGAGGCATTCTCCCCTGTGTTTGGAAAGTTGCGAGCATATACCCCATTCACAAGGGTGGCTCTAGAACAAGTGCAAACAATTATCGACCGGTGAGCTTAACGTGCATTTGTTGCAAAATTATGGCGAGAATAATAAACATATAAGTTCCTTGACGGAAAGAATTTCTTTGCTAGTTCCCAGCATGTCTTTCGACGAAATCACTCCTGCTTAACTAATATGCTCTATTAAACGGAGCAGTGGCCCCGCTCGTCAGACGAAGGAACAAGGATCAATGACATCAACATGGATTTCAAGAGAGCCTTTGATAATGTTCCACATCACCGGTTGCCTTACTAGGTCCGACAGACCGGGATAATAATAATAATGAATAGTAATAATTTTTTATTAAAGACTCCTCGGAGTCCCGACAAAGCAAGTAAAAATAAAGTTACACAGAATTTTACACAAAGTAGGCAGAATCTGTACAAAATGCAGTTCATAGTTCCTGAATTAGTTGTCCGTTAAGAAAAATTATGAGCGAGCAATGAAAAAACTCCACTTAAAAGTTTAAAAATGATTGAATTATTTTGCAGAATAAAAAACACCTCGCTAAAAAATAATAATAGAAAAATGCGTGCAGGACTGGCCTTCATGTGGCGGTATATAACTGATTATAATCGGACATCGTCAGGGCATAAATAAATGTCAGCCTTGAGGAGTACGTATGCGGGTCGGACAGGACTGGCCTGCATGTGATATTGTATATGGGATTCAGAACTAACATCGTCAGAGCAGGATTTATACGTCGGTTGAGACTATTCGCGCCAAAGCAGCCAGACAAGAGGAACCCAGACGCGATCGATCACAGTACGATTTGGAAAAGAGTAGTGAAAGTTATATTTTTAATGCGATTTCTTAATCACTTGCACAGTTTTCCAGTGTAGATCTGACAAAATTTCCTATTTATTGTCATGAGTCATCTTCGCTCCCCGTCATATTCCGTCGATTTATCCCAAAACAGAAATCTAGTGTCATAGATTTTCACCCAACATGGCCTCGATCCTATTAAGATTTACCCGCTTATATAAAAGGTTTTCCTCGTAAAATGTTGAATAGCCTTATGTTTTAAACGATAAACCGTCTCCACTGACCGCTTTTGTCGTCGGTTTATTGACTAGTAAGAGAACTATACTGTTCTCCATTTTATCCTAAATAACCTCATTATCCAATTTAAATTTACTCTCGTTTTTGTTTTGTCACCTACATTACTGTCATTTACCAGTTTTTTTTCAAGTGTACATTCCGTTATTGAGTTAAAATTGCTTAGTACCAATTGTGCTGCCTGGCCCATCAATATTGATAGCTTTCAGAAATTGTTTCATCATACATAGCCTCATTCATATCTCCTTGAAGTTTCGGCAGCTACCATCACTATAAAGTTTTGGACTAAAGTAGTGTTTTGCTTTTTCGAAATGAAACCTCAGGCATCCCTTCGTCGAAATCTGAAGGATACGAAACTACGATTAAAACCCATTGTGCATATGAAGAAAATAGACCTAGGGGCACTCGACAACTTTAGCAATTTTATGTCTCGTTACGGATCAGTTTTTCCTGTTCTTGGTGCCCTTCTTGAAGGAAAGTTGCCAACCCTTACGTCTCAGCAGTGGGAGAAGTTCATGCCTCTCACTGACCTGGTTGCTAATGAGACCGATGACAGACAAACGAAGTTTTAACTTCATTTCAAACAGCGTTCCTAGGAATAGACAGCCAATTGATATCGCTTTCCACTTTCTTTACTCATGCGGCTTCAATTTTAGGGTTGCTGAAGCTAAAAGACTTTCATCTAGGAGCAAAAATCCACCAATTCTTGTCAAACTATTTTCGCAGATAAAAGTGGATTTTATTTTCTCCCATTTGGAGCGCTCGACACAATATCTCAGGGGAAATAAACTTTTTATTAGTCGAGATCAAGCTCCACTGCAACGAAGAGTTTCTCCCCCATTAACAAATGTAAAGCCGTTCGTCCCTAAAGCAGATTCTCAATCGGGCGTCAACCAAATCTCCCCCTTACCTGCAGTGGCCCCAGTTCCATCTAGCTCTTTAACTGAGCACATTATCGCTGAGTCGGTTGAAGCCAGCCTCGATAAAACGCCCCCAAGAAGCAAGGATTGCTCAAATGCGGCTCTCAAATTTAGAGGGGGCTCGATCTTAACAGTAAAGATGAGCCAATCCTAGAACCACAACCGATCCCTAGCACTCAGAATAATAAACTAATTACTAAACGTAGATCGATCCATCCCGTTCCCGCGCCTGGCCACTCAGGTCTGACCTTGCGGTTAGGTCAAATAAGCCAGATGATAGTTCAAGGAGGTCTTTATCTGTTCCTTCCCCGAATTCTCAACTTAATGTAAACACCTCTGTTGTGAAGCCCACTTGCACACCAGCCTGCAAAATGCAAGTAAACTGGGTCTCAAAACCATTTCTTCCGATAGCTAGCATAAACTACCCTTCATATTATGCTAACAATTCACAAAATCCTATTTTCATGCCTCCTATTTTTCCAACTCAACAAAATAACATTCCTCTTTCAGGGTCTTCCTCGAATATTTTTCCATACAATGCGGCATCTATAGTTAGCGGTAATTACCCCACAAATTTCAGACCACAACAACTTTGTCTTCCACCGATTGCTTCGTACCAACAGCTTAATTTTCCATCACCAACTCTCCCTTTTTTATAAGGAGCATGGGGCGGAACCTACATATTAGGAATACGCTCAGTATTGTCTCTCTCAACGCAAGATCAGTCGTGCAAAAGATGACACAACTGAGAAGTGCGGCTGTTGAGTT